GGCAAAGAAGATAAAATAATAATGCTATCGCTGGCAAGTCATAGTACTACCTTGTGAGTTCACAGGTAGACTTGTTAGTGTCCGGTGAAATCTTAAAGAAAGCGTCAGGCTTCAAGAGAATGTGGTCAGTTCTAGCCTGGCAGGTCATCCCTGCCCTCCCCTGAAGACTATTCTGTAAGCTTAATCCTTGTTAGACAATGGGTGAGAGACCAACAGGAGAGTATCACAGTTAGCAGTTGACTCCAAGACATGCAAAAAGGAATCACAGGTTCCAGTTCTGGTACTCGACTGACTCTTAGATGGGAAGCTGAATGTGCGGGTATCTTCTCTGACCTTGTAGTCTTTGTTTTGTAACGTGCAGATAATGCCTTATAAAACATCTAGACTTCCTCTAAGGGATCTGTCACAACTGTCCTCGATGTTGTTGAAGCTGCCAGTGTTCTCAGGCTAGGAGGAATGTTTACAAGCTACTGCCCTGTAGCACACCATTACTGTGCAGGATGCTGGTGACAACAGCTGTGGTTTTGAAGGGAGAGAACTGATGTCTTGTTGTTAATTATTGGATGATTGAGGGGAGCATAATAATCATGTGATACAGTCTGATTTTTTTTTTTTTTCCTTAAAAGCTTTAGAATATTAGGCAAATGGTCACTTTAAAACTGAGGACTTGATCAGCAGCAAAGTTACTGGCGCCTATCAGATGATTTAAACTCATGTAACTAGAATTTTCCCAAATCTTTTCTGTATGCACTGTGGTAGACTCGTAAGCTGTAGCTAACACTTCCTATGATCAATTATTTCCTAACTCAGCAAACTTTGTAACTGTTAAAAGAAGGTGCAAGACTGACATCTAGGACAAGTTCTGCTTTGGCCTTGTGACCTTGCTGTTCTTTCCAGATAATTAAGCAAGTGCTGGACTTTGTGCCTCTGGTTCTGTACTTAACTTTCGGCATGGCTGAAGCAAGAACCTGTGAGGCCGGTCTGAGGTAGTTTTTGAACTACAGTGTGAATCTTGCATCTTGTTTTAGTGGCAGTTATAACAGAAATGTTCTATTTTTAGTTTAATCTCATCGTTCTAGGTATTGGTGACTTCCTGAAATGAGCTGCTTAGGTGGACTAAAAAAGTTCTTGTGTCACTGCCCTAAAGTGCCAGCTACTCGTTTTTGTGGCCTTATTTGTGTCAGTAAGCCTTAATTGTCATAAGTGTTTCTGCATGGCTCGTAGATACTAAATTGTATTTTAAATTCTTAACTCTTCTTTAAAGGAGAAGATTGCCAGGTGAAAGATCCAAGGTATGGTCATGTTTATAACCTGAAGCCACTTTCCAATAAAGACATAAAAGTGAGTACAGATGAGTATGACTACTACTTGAGAGTTTGTGGAGAACTAACAGAACCTTGCAAATCAGAGGCTCAGGCTGTGTCATCGTGTCAAGTAAAGAAGATGGGCAACACTTTCAGAAAAGTAGCAGGTATAGCACTTGAGCAGAAGAACTTGGAGAATGGGTAGATGAAACAAAGTGTAATTGAAGCTACTATGTGATACAAGAGGGGTTTTTGCTAATCTTGTACATCTTATGAGGTAAAGCACCCTACCACTTTTGCTTCATGTGCAAATAAAATGTCGTGCACATATATGACATTTTATTTATTTTATATATATAACGTTATTTTGGCACACAGTTAGGAATGAGCTCACCCCTGCTGTGCTGGAGTAGTACTTGTTTAATAACTAGGTCACAAGTTTTAGAGGAAGATTGAAGTCTTTTTATCAGTATTTTATTGTGCATGTTATTGCCATCTGTGTGACCCTGTTGGCAGAGGCATTACCGCAGCTACGTGCGTTTACTGGATTAGCCATTTACTTTTCTCACCTCTTTCCTTCTAGGCTTGCTTACAAAAAAACTGACTTTTAAAAATGGTTTAATAATGATTAATTACACCAGTGGAGAAAAATGTCATAAAATATATGAAAGATCAACTGCCATATTATTCTACTGTGACAAGACTACATCTGAGGTTAGTTTCAAAATGTTTCCTGTATGTGCTGTCTCACAGAAGTGCCCTATTCTTAATGTGTGGGGAGGGTAAGGTGAAGAACATGAACTAGCTTCCTTCAAGAACTGCCTAATCATTTACAAATTAGGCAGAAGATTGAAAGGTCCTGTGAGGTGATAAAAAAATGAGGAATGTTTTTTATTTCCTATTTAATGAAGGTATGTTTGTCAAGCCCCAGGAAAGTTGGGGCAGTTGTTCCTTTTAAGGGCTGCCTGCTATTAGCAGAGCTCTTGGAGATGTTGAAAAGGGATGTTATCCCAAAAATAACAGTAGTTTCTTTATAAAAAATAAAAAGTAGAAGAAGGATCTTCAGTAAAGCAGGTATTGGATGGCCAGACCAAAATAAGTTGGTTACTTGCTTTTTATTACCTCTCCCCATACTTGTGTTTTCCTTCTTGTTCTTAAATAATGGGTGCCTAGAGTTTCTTTTACTCTTCCTCTTATTTCATGGAGGAGGCAGAATCTCCTAGTGGCTGCCCTGCATGTGGATAAACTCAGGTTTGGGAGAAGCCATGCTTTCAGCTCTTCAGAGGCATCGTGTGTCTTCAAAATAACATATAGATACAAGTTCCCAGATATCTTCAGCAAGACTGAGGCATTTTGATAGCTTCACTCTGTCTAAGTGAGAAAGTAAATTCCTTTTGTATTTTGTTCTTCCAGCCTGTGTTTCTGAAGGAAACTCCAGATTGCACCTACATGTTTGAATGGCATACTCAGTATGCTTGCCCACCTGTTAAATCTATTGAGTGCTCCTACAAGTAAGTTGTAGCCACAAACTTTAAAATGGAGCTGTGTGATGACAGAAACAAATAGAGCCTTGCTGCAACTCAGTGCAATACTGCCACTTTAACTACTGTGCTTTGACTTAGCAACCAGTTAATGTGGTATTAGATGCCAGTGCAATGTATTTTAAGTAACTTCTGCACGTTATGCTTCATAAAACTAATTTCACTGAAGAAAAATACTTTCTTTGAGCTTCATGGGAACAAGCTTAGTGTCAAAGTGAACTGTTTGGTTTGCAGTTATTGATGGTTGAACTCGGAGTGTGTTGGGTTCTTACAGGTGTCTAGTTATTATTTAACTGTAGCTAATTTAAACAAGAATACAACTTCTGTCTGGAATGTCCACCAAACAAAGCTCCAAGAAAAACGTAATCTGTTTCTGTCACAACCAATTATTAGCTCATTAAGTTTTGATAAGTGTGGTCAAATGTGGCTAATAATTGGCCCAGGGCTTTAACATCTGGCATCATCATAGGTTTCTACAATCCACTATAACTGCATTTGTGCTTGCTGTGCACTGAAGGCCTGCATGTGTCAATGAAAAGTTGGAATTGCTCTTGCACTGGCTGAGGGCTGTGTGTGTGGACAGTTACCACCAGCATAATACTCTGCTTCTAGAGTTTTTAGGTTAAAGGTTATAGCAGTATCTTAAGAATTGTAACTTAAATTACTTGATTTTTAAAAATGCCTCTTACTTTGAATCCTTTGTCTGTCTTACAGGGATGATGAAGGAAACTTCTATGACTTTTCATCTCTGACACGGCATAGAGAGAATTGGGAGGCAATTACTCTAACTCCTTCTACACAGAAATACTATATTAATGTCTGCAAGCCCTTAGTACCATATGGTGCTGCACGTAAGAGCAAAATAAAAATACATTCTCACTGTAGCAAGAGGAAACAAGTGGTAGGACAGTACTGCTGGCTGTTGTTCAGACTGGAAAAAAAAATCATGAAGCAAAGTATGCAGAGACAATGGTGTAATTTCAGCACCAGAGGGAAGGGCAGATTATGGGCCTGATTTCTGTCTGCTTGGCAGATGAGATTCACTTGCAGCTCTTAGCTTCTCTTGATAAATTCAGCTCTATTTTTTCCATCCTTATCAAAAGTCTGCTAGAACTCTTAAAGAGTAAAATAACATTTTGGTGCAAGTTGTTAAGGTCAGAATTTTCCCTATGCAGTCTTCTGACTCCACATTCTGTTTAGTGGAAGACCAGGTAACAAGACTATCCTTTAATCCTGTGTAGTAGGCTGCTTCCTAAGTAGTAGCTGCCACTACTTTCTGCATGACCTTGAGTGAACTGAACTAGTTGTTGCTACTTGTGATTTTTTTTTTTGGGGGGGGAGAGGAAACCAGCACAGTGAGTATGGCTTAGACAGTGTCTGGAAGCTAGGTCAGCTATGAGATACCTGAGAGTCAAATAGTGGAGTTTTATTCCAGGCAAGTAAGCATTTAGAGTAATAATGCTGGTTTTGTTCATTTTTATAGGTTCCTGTCCTTCTGATGCTGCTGCTTCCCTCATGGAGGGTGCAAAATGTACAAGTCTTGGGGAAGTTGCTGATGGTCCCCGATGGGAAAATGGCATTTCTACTCTGAAATATATTAATGGGGAGCAGTGTCCAGATAAAATTCGCAAGAAAACAACAATATTGCGCCTCAAGTGTGATGAAAACAGAATTGTAAGTGGGTTCCTTGTGGCAGGGTTTTACATTTTCGTGAGTTGTTCATACAACTGTATGTGTATGGAGAGTGGTAGGCAGTTCTTATCCATTCCCTCATCATCTCTTGTTGGATGGGAGCCAGTCTTGTAAGCAGATTGGCTGAGCAGTTTTGAAGAGATCTTTTTGTAGAATCTGTGAGCACAGGTTTTATCATCTGTAATACCTTCAAATTATCTGTCTTGAAGGCAAGTGTATTGCAAATCAGGAAGTGTTTCTAGTGGTAAATGCTGTTGGCTGTGTGGTTCTTAACTCTTGCATGCCTGTATGCCTTACCTTTTAAGTATTCTTCTATTTTATTAAATGTCTTACCCTGACCTTTAGGATTCTGTGTTGCTCAGAGGCTGCTTTTTGGCTCTCGTCTCATCAATGTTATTGCTCCCAATGATGATTCTGTACTGCTGTGTGTTGAAATACAGTTGAATATTCTGTCCTTGGGTTAATTTACAGGACCGTGATAGTCTAAGTCCTAGAATTAGCATTCAAATTGAGCTTAGTTACAGGCATGAGGGAAAACCCTGGTTGAAATCTTAAAGTGCGCTCTGTAGAGATGTCACTTTCTTCACTGCTCCGTATTCAGGAATCAAAGCCAGAACTTATAATGGCCATTGAAGACTGTGACTATACCTTCTTGTGGTTCACTGCTGCTGCGTGTCCTCTGAAGAGCAATGTGCAAAATGACTGTCGGGTAACCAATCCTGCAACAGGTAAGGAGGGGGCCCCTGGGTTTTTTTGTACATGGAAAGGCTGCTGGAAGTAGCAATACTACTTTTGTGTTCTTGAGGGACTTCATTACAAAAGAACAGTGTGACACATCCTCTGGATAGTGACTAACAAGCTTATTGGTGGGTAAAAATACCTTGTAAGGTACTGCAATGTCCCTTGGAACAAATAGTTTGTAGTTCTGGAACTAATGTTACCTCTATTAATAAGAATTAGTAATTGTTTGCCTTTCTAAGCTGGCAGGCAAGTAGGGGCTAGTTGACCTTACTACTAAATCGAGTTACTGAAAGCTTTCAATACAAAGAAGTGTCTTGAGTTTTGAATCAGAAAAAAAAGATTAAGTTATTCCCTGATCTGCCTCCAGGCCACCTCTTTGATTTGACACCGCTAAAGCGAGAATCTGGCTATACCATCAGCGACTCACACAACAGAAAAATTGAGTTGAACGTTTGTGCTGAAGTTAAAAGTGCATGTGCTAACGGAGCTGGTAAGCATCTTATCCCCACTGATACTGTGATCACTGACTATAGCACACCCAAAGGAAATACTTACGCTCAAGTTTAAGGTAAAATGCAAAGGGCGAGTTTTGCTACAAATGTTATAAGGAGCGAAGAGAGCAGCTGCACGACTGAATTAGCTAGGAAAAGAACCTAAAACTGTTTTAGGAAATGATGTATTACTATCAAACTCCATTCCTAAACTTGGGTTCAAATCCAGTCCAATCCCTTTGTGTCTGAATGGGAGTGTTTTCTTTTGGACGTGAGGGCAGGAGTGCAGATGCTTCCACTGCACTTTGTGTTGTCGATGCTGTGCGAAGGAAGAAGTTAAAAGCTTCCAGCTAGAGTAACCCGAGCACAAAAATTGCTGTGTTGATCTGTTGCAACTGCACTGAGCCTGGTGCCCACGCTTCAAACCCTTGCCGAACTGCTCTGTTACTTTCTGTTCTGGGTGCTTCTGAAATGTAGGAGTTAACTTGCAGTTTAAGCTGCTTACTAGCTGGTTGAATTGCTAGCTTTTCTAATATAAGATACTATTTAAGCATCTTAAATGCTAAAACAGGAATATCACTTGTGAATTAAAAATTATTTTTGTGTAGTTAGAAAACACTTTGGTTTAGTTTTTAAGAGGCATCTTAATAAAACTATATATAATCTGTCTGACATTTTGTTTTTATCTCTTGGTTTTCACAGCAGTGGTAACCGAACACTGTGCTCTGTGATTGGTTAAATGTGTACAGATGCAGTACGTTCTGCTGGTTAATGAAGTATCAAAGGCAATGTTTGGGTTCTGTTTCAGTGCAGTTCAGCTCAGTTTAGTGGCAACTCTGGATGGTGTGAAAAAGCCTATCTGTCATAAGAAAATTAAAGTGAGACTAAAAACTTAAGTTTCCTGCAGTTCATGTTGTATGGTGCAATTTTGAAGGGTGGTTACATTAGACTTGATCTGATTTGTTAATTTTTCTTCTTTACTTTAGCTGTCTGCATCACTGGTGGTCCAAAACCAATTAATGCTGGAAAACCGAGCAAAACTTTAACTTATGAAGATCAGGTGTTAAGGCTTGTCTATGAAGGTGGAGATCCTTGCCCTGCAGACCCTGAACTGAAGCAGAAAAGCTATTTTAGCTTTGTATGCAAGTCTGACATTGGCGATGACAGCCAGCCTGTCTTTCTGTCTTTCGACGAGCAGTCATGCACTAGTTACTTCTCATGGCATACTTCCTTGGCTTGTGAGGAAGAGGTAAGAACTAATTCTGTGGAAACAAACACCTGTGGGAATAAATTTCTGGGAGGGTTAAACATACTTGGAGTGTGTGTTTTAAATTCCGTGAGGGAAAGGTCTCTTCCTGTAGTCAGTACAGAACCCAGGTTCATGAAGAAGGCCTCGGATACTTTTCTTAATGACTTTATTCGCACAGATGTACAGTACTTGGCAAACTTATGGTCTGTCTGATGGGCCTAGTTAAAACTTCCAACACTTCAGAATAACCCCTCTGTGGAACGTGCTTAGCTGCTCTTCTGTACAGCTCAAATGGAAGCTATAGGGCATCTGCTTAGGTTAAGATCCTCCAGTGGAACAGGCCAGCAGAGCTTAGGCTGAGTTGAGAATGGACAGCGTGTCTATGCTGGGGCATAGTCTTTGTATTTAAGCAAATGCCTAGGGGCTGGGCAAGCATATGTCCAGTTTGCTCAGTGTGAAAACTGATGGATCTTGACAGCATGAATTTAGGATCTGCCCCTGCTGTCTACCACATGCTGTAATAACATGATTTGGTCAACTCTGGATGAACTGGTGTCCCAGATGATACTTTGAACTTTAGTTAATTTTAGCTAGTGCAATTGTTACCAGTAGTGGATGTGCAGAGTAAAAGCCAAGGGCAGGAATAGAAGGCTAAATGAGCTACAGGGTGAATTAATATCCTTTAACACGTGAGTGTTGCCTTTTGTGAATCTGCCTAATCATTCTTTTTGCTGCCTTGATTACATCTGGTGTGGCCATCGTTCTCTTGACAAGTTGTTTTTCCTTCTCATCATTGTCTCAGTACTACCATACCTCTCACTTCCACTTAGGAGAAACATTTTCCAGTTTTCCTTTCCCTGACAGGAACTGTCATGTGTCCCCTCCTTTTGCAAAAGTTTTGCTACTTATAGCTCTGCTTTACTCTTCAGTAGTATGTACCGTGCTGCAATACAAATCAACAGTACCTAAAAATACTGTTTTCTAGCCTGTTAACTCTATTCATTCATCATTTGTGCATTTCTGATCACTTTTCACAGCGTATCCAAGATCACCCTAGCTATTTCAGTGTGGTGATGGCTAGGTAGCAATGATGTTTGTCCAGAAATTACATCCTAATTTTATCTAATACCTAAACAAAAATATCTATTCTCAAATACCAGGTATTTCCAAATACCAAATAATTCCCAAATTCCAGGTAGGCTGTCAGCTTATCTATTTTAAGAATACATGAAACAGATTCTGATGCAATGCAGTGCTCAAGGCATCAGCTTGCAATACAATAAGTCTACATTGTTATAACTGTGTGTGCTGGAGTAGGCATGCCAGAGTTTTGTGTCTTGGTATTGTTCTCACATGGACTCCATTCCATAAGAATGTTTAAATTACTGAGGTTTTACATATGCAGCTTGTAGGTACTTAGTATCTATAGAAAAAAATCACAAATGCTGCTTTACTTAAATCAAATTTGAAACTTTTAAATGCAGCCACCCTCCTGGCCCTATGAAGGACAAACTGTCAATAAATCAAGTAATAAAAGAATAAGAGCAATAAAATGTACTGTCTTGTAGGTGAAGTGCTCAGTGTTGAATGGTAGTTCCATTATTGACCTGTCTCCTCTGATCCATCGCACTGGGTATTATGAGGCATTTGTGGATGAAGATATAACAGGTGCTTCTCCAGACTTCTACATCAACATTTGTGAGCCTCTCAATCCTATCAAAGGTGTCAGTTGCCCGCCTGGAGCAGCTGTTTGCATGGTTCCTGTTAGTGGACCACCAATAGTAAGTACTGTGCCTGGAATCACTGAAATGTGCATTTCCCTGCTAGTTTAAAATGGGATCCCTGCCTAAAGACGTGATTTGAAAATAGACTTGACCATGATTTAAAGAAATGGAATAAAAAATTAAAATCTACCCTGCAAAATTCCCTTTTCTCTACAAAGAAATATTGTCCTGTCCTGTACCCCTGTGATTTTTTTGAGTGTCAGAAGATTCCATACTGTAACAAATATAAAACATTTACTACAGAGTTTTTTCATGTAGTGCTGTGTGCCAAATATGGAGACTGGAAAGCAGAAAGCCTCTTAATTTGGCCATTCACAAACACAAGTTTGCCCCTGTACTCGGCACTGGTGAGGCCACAGTTTGAGTGCTGTGTTCAGTTTTGAGCATCACAGGATAAGAAGGACATGAAGGTGCTGGAGGAGGTCTGGAGAAGGGCAGTGAGGCTGGTGAAGGGTCTGGGGAACACGTGTTATAAGGAATGGCCAAGGGATCAGGGATTGTTTAGCCTGGAGAAGAGGAAGCTGAGGGGAGACCTTACTGCTCTTTACAACCTCCTTTCAGGTAGTTGCAGTGAGGTGGGCGTGGGTCTCTTCTCACAGGTAACTAGCAATAGGATGAGAGGAAATGGGGTTAAATTATGCCAGGGGAGGCTTAGATTGGATATTAGGAAGAATTTCTTGACTGAAAGAGTGGTGAGGCACTGGAACAGGCTGCCTAGGGAGGCGGTGGAATCGCCGTCCCTGGAGGTGTTAAAAAAACATGTAGATGTGGCACTTGGGGACATGGTTTAATGGTTATGGTAGTGTTGGGTGATGGTTGGACTTGATGGTCATTTTCAACCTTTACGATTCTATGATTCTGTGGCACAGCAATGGTGTGCTTGATCCTGTGATAGCCTGGTGAGATATTTAGCATTTAGTACCTTCATGCAAGAACTTGACAGCTGAATGGCATGCCTGTGACAGAATATTGGTTAGCTCGTATGTGTTATTGACTTGAGAGATGGAAGCTCTTACCTTTTGAGGTCTTGTTTCTGAGCTGTAGAAAATGCACATAAAAAGCTGAGATTGTTTTCCATGAACTTCCACACTGATCTAGAGACCTTACTCCACTGCTGATACCGCACAATTTTTAGGTGACGTGTTGCTATTTTGTCACAATGATTTAAAGAAGAATCTACCTGTAAGATGCAGAACCTCCCTGTTTTTTGTCAGGCTTCCATGTAAATCAGATGGATCTGAATTAATTTGAATTAATTTGAATCTCTGGGTGGATATGAGATCTAGGTGTGTCCCGTGTGTCTCTGAATATGTTTTTTCACTTGTGTAGGATATTGGTCGTGTTACCGAACCTCCCAAATTAAACAAGGCAGTACATGAAGTTTACATCACTTACAACAGCACTACTCCTTGTCAGATAAACAACAAATTGAACTATACTTCTCTTATTGTATTTCACTGCAGCCAAGGAACCAGTCTGGTAAGTCATCTGTTAAACTTGTGTTGATGTGAAGTGTGCAGTGGGATGTGGGTAGTAACCAGTGTTAGCTTTGTTTAAATCAAGGATTTGTTTCCAGCATGTAAGGATAGACTTGTTTCAACAGTGAATATACTGAATATTTCTATTCTCAGCTACTTAAGTACTTAAGAATACAAATACTAAGTATTTAAATCCTAACCAGGCAAAATTTCAGAGTGCATGAACTTCAAGCTTGAGAGGAGCAGGTTCTGATGGTTTCAAGGATCAGATTCCACTGCAGTACTGTAGTAATAACTTATTGCTGGCATTAATCTTAATGCTGTATTGCACTTTGTATAGGTCCAAAAGCTTGTACTTGTACCACAAGCTAAGACAACAACCAGTGTAACTATGAAGGTGTTACTGTGGAATGTTCCCACTGTGCTGTACCCCTTTCCATAATCATACACAGCTAGTATCTAGATACTTAAGTTTTTATTTTGTGTTGATTCCTGAACACTAAATTGAGATTTCATGATGGTGTGGATCTAACAAATCTTGAATTTTTTGAATGCTTTAACAAACTGTAGAGAAGCACTTGGGTATGTTTGACAAACTATAGCTTGTTGAAGATACTCAATGGAAGCATTTTCCATCAATGTGGGGCAGGAGCTGAAACTCAAGGCAGCTCTGAATGTTGAACAGGCCATGTTCATATTTTTATTTGAAGTATGAAAAAGGAAGCAGCATTTTTTTTCTAAACTTGAACTCAGTGAACTTTCTTAATGTTCTCTATTGTGGAGAAAGATACTCTTCCTTCAGTTGTTGCTTGCAGCTAAGGTGAACATCAAAATATTTGCCCTAATTAATAAGAAAACTTGTGTACTTCAGTTACTACTTGGATTATTCTGCGTTGCTTCAGAAAACAAGTATTGAAACTGTGAAGAGTTACAAGTATTTCACTTGTAACATTTTTGCTGCTGGTTGTAATATGAAGTCATGGTGTTTGTTCTAGTTAGTCAAGTCGAGCCTTGTTAATAACTGAAATTAACAGCTTTTGAGAAGGGAGGGGAGGGGGAAAATGCAGAAAGGACAACAAAGTCTCCAAAAATTAAACCTACTTTATCTTTCTGTTCTCTGTTAATAGGGCAAGCCAAAGATGGTACGGAAGCTTGACTGCAGTTTTGTGTTTGAGTGGGAAACTCCAATTGTGTGTCCTGATAACGTGAAAACTTTAGGCTGCTCTGTGACTGATGAGCAGCTACACTATACTTTTGACCTGGCAAGCCTTTCTGGAAGATCATTTGAGGTAATGCCTTCTGGTGGTGTGTTGTTTTTTTGTTGGTTTTTTTTTTTTTTTTTTTTTTTTTTTTTTTTTTTTAATTTCCTATTGCTATGAACATTTTAAAACTGAAGCAGGGGTTTCTTTTGACCATCCTGGGGTGTGAGAGGAGACCGAAGCATGTCCTGCAGCTGTGGTTAGTGTTGATATTTATTTGGCCTCTGACAGACTGAATAATTTCAGTGGGAATAATGTTAGGTTTTTAAGAGAAATTCATGGATATGCTGATGAGGAAATGAAAGAGAAATCTTCACCTGTTGCAGAATCTTGACATGAAAACAAATCTACTGAATAGTCTATATCCTTGGTCCTGTGGGTGTGTTTTATCTGCAATTTTGTCATATTAAGGAAGGCCAGACTTGCAAAATCAGTTATTTTATTTTCCTCCTGCATTATGCAAGTACCAAATGCGACTTGGTTTATAAAGTGCTCAGATGGTTCTTTTTTAGTATTGACTGTAGGCTCTGAGGTGGCCTTGTTTGTGATGCTTCTGGATCTCCACACAGGTATATTCTGGATCCAACAGTTACCATATTGGTGTATGTAGTCAGGCAGCAGACTTGCCCCAGGGAAAGTGCAAAGATGGGGCAGTGTGCCTGACAACTGGAAGTGGTGTGTCATCTTTTGGGAACATAAAGGAAATGAAAATGGACTACAGCCACCAGGATGAAACAGTCATCTTGCAGTATACAGGCGGTGACCGGTGCCCTCCAGGTGAGACTGAAGCAGCCTCATTCTTTATGTAAAAGCTTGTCAGCTTTTTTTTTTACCTTTCAAATATGAGGTTTTGTTGCGATAGGAGGGAGGCAACGTGGATTTTGCATATGTTAATAGAAACATTTAACTTTATGACACATATACCATACTAATCTGCAGCATCAACATGTATCTCCTAGAAGAGACAGAAGCAGCTTTTCTGTAGGGATGATCATAGATAATTGTACACTGCATCCTAATTTTTGAATTTGGTTTTACTTAGTGTTTCAGTATTTCTGTTGTTTGCCTCTGCATGTGACTTCTCTCTAGTACTGAAGTACAGGGTTTGAATGTGGTCTTGAATATGGATATGCCTGCTATTGTACTGTGTGTTTTTAAGATGCTGTACCTTTCCTTCTCAGTGACTGAAAAGGGAGACCTTTGTGTGTTCCCCTTCAAATACAAAGGGAAGACCTATGAGGGATGTATTACAGAAGAAAAGAATAGGCCATGGTGTGCTACAACTGAGAACTACCAGGGAGATGGAAAGTGGGGATTTTGTGGAAATGGTAAGAACTTCCCCTGCTTCATGTGCAAGGATCTGAGCTATCACAGGGAGTTAGCCATTGCCAGGTTGGGCAAAAGACCTCTGGTGCAATACGGTGGAAGTAAAGGGATAAGAGTGGGCAAGACAAGGAATCTGTGGGACAAACTACTCAAGTGAGTGAGCAAAATACTTCAGAAATAAAAAGTTCATGCTTTTAGATCATGAGTGTTCCAGTCACACATGATGACTCTGTTTTAAATGGAGATCAATCATTTTGGAAGGAACACTACTTTCTAAAAAGCATAAAAGCTTTTAGAATTAGGGAATAAAATTGCTAGGTAAAGCATTTTTCCTCTGCTCTTTGAAACAACACCTGATTAAAATTTTTGTTGATACCCTGAAATTGCTGCACTGAAATCCAGGCATGCCTGAAAACTTCTTGCAAAATATTTTTTTCCCTTTTTTTTCCAACCTTCCCCTTATAGCAACTGCAAAAAGGGAATCTACCATTATCTTTGCATGTGATGAAAATGCTGGTGTTGGGAGACCACGCATTTTGAGTGAGACACTTGGCTGTACCGTGACATTTGAATGGAAGACACAGGCTGTTTGTCCTCCTAAGAAAATGGAGTGCAAGTTTGTCCAAAACCACAGAACTTATGACTTGAGGATGCTTTCTTCCCTGACGGGGTCATGGATCTTTTTCCACAATGGGAACTCGTGAGTAATGAGCAACTCCCAGGGAGCAGCTTCCCAATAAACAGTGGAAGTTGTAGTGTGGCATAGTACTTCTGTTTGGTCCCTGTGTACAGAGGCTGTTTAAATGGCTAAAAATGTCTTAAAACTGTTGATGGTTAACACTGTGTATAGAAGGGGGGGGCAGGGGGTGAAACAACCCAAGAAAAAAAACACAACCAGAAAGGAACCCATTTTACCTGAAGAATACAAATAATTACTGTCTTCATCCTTACCTCTTCCCTCTATTGATAACCATTTTTAAAGGATGAATAAGTCGAACTGGAAGCTTTTTAAAGGCTATATAAAGCTGTCCTAAAGTAATTTTGTCATTTAAATGCAATTTTTTTGATTCTTAATAATGGTGAAAAAAATCTTAATGAATTAGTTGCAGTCTTCTGGCTCCAGTGTGTAACTTTTTGTCTAAAGTTTCAGTAGGGCTTCCCTCCCCTCTCCCCCATTGCCACCCAAATATGAGTGGCAGGAAGTCATCAATTTATCCAGCCTCCTCCTCCGTTTAGCAAATAGAAAAGAACTGACGAGGGTCTTTTCTAATCTTTTGATAAGCTGTGGGGTAACAAAACTGTTTCATTCACTGTCTTGGTACTAGGTCATCTGTTGTAATAAAACTTAACTGGTATAGCTCTGAAGAGACACTGAATTTAGGATAGTCCTATAGCCTTTTGGACTTTTAATGACTTGGTTGCAGTATCTAGTTTTGACCTTGATGAAAATTAACTAGTGAACTAACATGGTAAATGAGCATTTTTTTTTTTTGTACAGTTATTTACTTAAAAATGATAGTTAAAAATAATCTGCTAAACCTTAGTACATGCTTTATTCTGTCAGCTAATCAAGAGTATTTAATTTCTTTCAACCTGGCTAGCTTGCCATGAGGGCTGTAACATTTAGACCTCACTTTTTCAGTTTAGTCTAAATTAATTTCAAAGAAGTTTTTACATACCATGTTCTCTGTAGGTACTATGTGAATCTCTGTCAGAGGGTACATGAAGGACCCACGGGCTGCCCTGAAAGAGCCAGTATTTGCAGGAAAAGCAACAATGGAGACGTTCAAGTTCTTGGACTTGTTCATACACAGAAGTTGAATGTGACAGGTAGAGAGTTTGTTCCTGTAGAGAGCTAGAGATGGTTAAATTTTAAAAGCTATCTATAGTGGTTCTTAAATTATGGTGAATCCTTTATTTTGAAGTATCTTTACCAGTGAATATTCCATTTAAAACCAAAACAAATCAATGCTACTACTCACAGAGTCAAAAGTGGTATTTCAGCCTTGAGGAAGCATTGAAGCAAGCAGTGTTATAATTAAAGCCATGAGAAGTGAATTGTCAATCTCAACATCAAGAAACACTTTTTTTTTTACAATGGGAGTGATGGAGCACTCATACAGGTTGCCCAGAGAGGTTGTGGAGTCTCCTACCTTGGAAATATTCAAAACCTGTCTGGACATGGTCCTGGGCAGCTGGTTCCAGGTGGCCCTGCCTGAGCAAGGGGTTTTGACCAGATGACCTCTGGAGGCCCTTTCCAACCAGTGGGAGGGGGAACTATTTTTGTTCATTCCATTTGGAAGGACTTGTTCTATGTCCACTAGCTTCTTTAATTAAAGCAGTATAGGAAAGATGACTAATTGGCTTAACTCTTAAGAAAAAGAATTTTAAAATATCTCAACCTTACTCAAGTTTTCAGTTTAAGGAATATTTTTTAAAATCCTTCTGAGTTTTTGAAATTGAGGGAAATTTTCTATCTGGCTACAAAAACAATGGTATGTATTGCATGTGTTTGTTGCCAGAGTTTGTTTATAAATGGGTATCTTAATTTACTCTTATATTTAAAAAAAAAAATGACATCTTAAATGTAAAGATTTATTGTGGCTGTACTGGTGACCTGAACGCTTGGTACAATGTAAATACAGAGGTGATTGAGGTGATTGAGGAGTGATTTTTTTTTTTTTTTAAATGATTATTAGTGTGAAGGCCTCAAATTACTGACATGCAATAATTGATATATGGTCTGTGTAGGAGAAAAGAAATAGTGTAAATTAAGCTAAAGTAATGAAGTCTGAAGAACAAGGAAAAGGAAATTTCTGACAGCTGCTTACAAAAACCTTGAGTGTCATCATTTTTCTCTTCTAGGTGATACAGTGTATATTAGTTATTCCAGTGGGCAGGAATGTAGGAACAATAAGAAAGTAACGACAATTATAGAACTGAAGTGTGCAAAAACAGTTGGTATGCCCATGCTGCAGAGGTGAGTAACAAATTTAACACATCACTTATCTTCCTGGTTTACTCCTTTGCACCTCTAGTAAACTGTAAATCTTAGAGCAGTGACTACCCATTCTGTTGGGCAGTCCCTAAAACAATCCTTGATTTGTACCTGTAAGGTATGGATCTTCTAGAGCTTCTGCACTGTTTACTTTCATAAATGCTTGTATTCTGTATTTATCTTAAGATTTCCAGGAAAAAAAATCCAAGCATTCTAATTCTAAAGTGACTCTGACTATGGCTGGGATGCTGTTGTTTTCAATGTCAGTTGTAGTCCAGCCACACCTAACTTTGCTCAAAATCTGTTTAGTGGAAAACACTTACTATAATAACTGGTTGACTTAATAAAACATTGTTTGTTGCCTCAATGCAGATTTTTTAACTAGAAGCTGAAGAAAGTGAGGTATATAATACTAAGAAAGTTTGATGGCTTTTTGCTCAGTCTTGTTTAACTCTATAAATAGAGTTGGGAAGCTGAGCAAGTTGCTCTGTATGAGTCAAAGAACTAGGTAGGAAAATCTGATGAGTTTATACAATTTATCCCCAATAATGTACAGCATGTTAAACCTGACGAGCAGCCTGACATGTTTGTAAACTAAAATATTTCAATAAACCATCTGATACACCGTGTGACGTCTGGAACTTTTGAAGTAGGAAGTTTGAGTCTGGAAAGGTCTTTTTAAGTCTTGAAACTGCTGAAGAGTGTAGTGCAATTTTTCAGGTAGCTTTTTTTGTGTGGTCTTTGACTGCTTCAGCTTAGTCTCGACAGGACATTCCAACTTGTGGGTTAACAGAGTGGTGTATTCCCTTTCTCAAGAAACCAGGTACTTGTTACTGTTTTCTGGAATTATCAGTTGTGTCTGTTCTTTGGTAGAATTGATGAAGAAAACTGCGCTTACTACATCACTTGGGACACACGAGCAGCTTGTGCCGTGAAGCAGCAGGAGGTGAAGGTGGTGAATGGAACAGTTATTAATCCTGCAACTGGGAAAAACTTCTCTTTAGGGGACGTTTATTTCAAGTAAGTTTTTTAAAAAAACAAACAAACAAACAAACAAAAACCAACGAAGAAACAAAAACCCAACAAAGAACATAATCCCCAAACCAAACACACAAAAAACCCACCAAACCCTCAAAACTACGATACCTTAGTCCTGTTGAACTGAACTACAAGGAAAGAGCTTGGTGTGAATATTCCATTGCCTTAACAGTTCTTAGCTGTCAAGTGTAAATGGCACTGAATTCACCTTGTACAAGTGACTTAAGTCTTGAGTACATCTAGACATGCTAAATCTAAAGCCTGCACATACTCACTTTTATGTCAGATCTCTTTATTGTGGGTTATCACTCTCTTCCATACTGTGTAGACATCAGAGAACTTGATTGTTTTTTTTTTTTTTTTAATAACCCTCCCAGACACACCTTGGATTTTTATGTAGCACCTTTTTTTTCCTGCTCAGATGATTCGTATAGAAGTAGGAACTCATGCTTCAAAAGCCTTAGAAATAAGGAAGGCCAGCTCTAGAGGAGTGGTCAAGAATGACTGAACTCAGAAGGGGCAGGAGAAGATGAGCAATGATACTGATTGTACTACACGTTGCACATAACTCTGGCTCAGAATCTCTTATGAACTACTATATTTAATATCTGTGCTAGAGTTACAGAAGGAAATCTGCCCATACTTAGTGCAGGGCACAAAGCATTAGTGTGTGGAATTGGAGTAACTGGGCAGAAGTGTTGTGAGTAAACCTGCTGTGCAAGTGTGGTGATAGCATTACAAGCATAGAGAAAAACAAATCAAGCAGGCCTGGATGAAGGAGGAGAGGAAGTCAGGACAAAAATAAAACTTGGCGTAATGTGAGATGAGAGACAAGTTGTGTTTGAGGAAGCTCAGCCTTTGAGCAGGTGGCTAGAACAAATAGCTGTGAATCTCAGAATGTTCACACTCTTACCAGCACTGTGAGAGGATAGAATTGTCGCTAGTATTTAGGTAACACTTAGGGTAGAACCCTTCTGGAGAAGACAGCTAAGTGATGGTATTTCATAGCTACAGAGCACACAATATGGTTCATATGGCCAGTAGGCTAGCTTGTGTGTGAGCTGCTGAGTCGTGCTTTTGTCTTCAGTTTATCTTAATTCTTTGGACATATTTACATGCTCATACCACCACTTGAGGGTAATATAGCTAGAAAGGTTTGCTTTTTATGCTTTCTTAAAGTATACTAAATAGAATTGTCATTTGTAATGTTCAGGGAGGAAGCCTCAGTCCTGCATTTTTCTGGTTGCTAAATCAGTCAGTCCATCTTGCTCTGGAATCAACCAGTGGTAGCAGCTACCACTGTTAGCAATCTGATGTCTTGGGAATAGCCTAAATCTGTGAGTTTAGACTTAAGGATGGACCTGCACTCTGTTTGCTCAGGTTGTACACGGCTTCTGGGGACATACGGACAAATGGCGATCAATACATATATGAAATTCAGCTTTCTGGTATAAGAAACTCAAGCTTCCCTGAATGCTCTGGAGCAAACATCTGCCAGGTTAAAACTAATGAACGTCGTTTTCGGAGAGTTGGTTCTGCCAAAAAAGCTAAATATTATGTTGAGGGTAAGTACGTGCCCACTAGCCAGAATTGCTTGATACTCTGTGTGAATTGCTTCATCAGAAAATGGCTCTTGTTTCACAACACCTGTGCTAATCCATTTCTGTAAAGTGTCCAGAATCTTTCTAGTAGAATGTAGATTTATTTTCTTACTGTGTAAGCTCAGATGCAAATGGGGCCTTAATAGGGTTTGGGCTTGATGCTTGTTGAAAGCCTTTGGTAGAAACAGTGCAAGGGAGAAGACTTGGTCTTTTGTTTTCCTCTGTGCTTGTGCTGCATAAGCAATGATCTCCTTTATCTAGCTGCTTTCTCTTGTGAAGAGCTTAGCCTGCTGTTCCACAGCAGCTAATGGAATCAGCTATGTAAAAGTGTAAGCTTACCCACAGCTACTGCAAAGCATAAGCTGCTACTGCACAACAAATAAGTAACTTTCCAGGGTCTAATGTTAATAGATTATTCTCGAGGAAGCAGTAAACTGGAAGATTTTCTTCTTGTTGTAGATGACGACTTGGATGTCATATTTTCATCAGACTCCAGATGCGGTAAAGATAAATCAAAGTTTGTGTCTTCAACCATTTTCTTCCACTGCAGTCCACAAGTAAGAGAAGGCATCCCTGAATTCCTTCATGAGACAGCAGATTGCCAGTATTTATTTACCTGGTACACATCTGCTGTGTGCCCACTAATGTGAGTAGCTAACCATTTTCTGAAAGCAACTTTTGTCAGCACTTCCCAGCTAAACGCTTTCTTTTATTTTTTTCTGATCAGAGTGATTGTGGAAAAAAATGGAAAGCCTACAAAGCAGTAGACTCATGGGTAGAGGAATTTGGTGTTTTTGTGTAATGTTTGGCACATGATCACTAGAAGCTGGCCAAGCTGATCTGAACCTAAAGCTGCTTGTTTGCATGGGAGATGGGGAGACTGGCCTTCCCCTCTGTCTGCCTACTTCTTTAGGCTGGCAACTTTTATCAGCTTATTCTACAGATTCAAAAAGAGGGTTAATGAGTTCATGGTGTTCAAATAGAGTGTACCCAGGTGCTTAGCAGCATTCTTGACTTGTAGGCAGCCTCACTGTGAAGAATGGAGTGACTGCTTCTGAGACTGTTCACTTTCTGGCTGCTAGCTTCAAAACACAGGGAAACTTTATTCTGGTTTAAATGGGCAATTAGCTGTTGAGGTCTGTGTAGTGCCACAGTCAACTGGAAGGTAAATAATTGCTGTAGCTTTTGCAGCTTGCTCAAGTACAGGTTTGGTTCTAAAATAACAGCTGCTGCTGTGTGAACTCTAGAGTGTGTCATCGTGCACTTCAGTCTTGACTGTAGTCAGGTCTGTGCACTGTTGGAAAGTATACCACCATGTAGGCTCAGCACAGACTTTATTTTTTCCTTGCCCTAGTGATTTTTACTTGTAACAAAATCCGCTGAATTCAATTCTTCATAGCTGTTAGGACTGACAGAATAGTGTGGCATGTCTAATTTCTTTGAATGTGCAGTTTCTAATCCAGTTTGATACAATTGGTCAGTAGATCTTACTCATCATTTTCTTCTCAACTTACGTTATTAGGTCAACCAGTGATCCGGGAAGCAATAAGCACCAGACTGATCAGGAAGCCCAAGTGCATAAAGGCCTTTCAAGGAGAAGTCAGGCTGTTGGTGCTGTGCTGAGTGTCCTCCTAGTTGTTCTCACTGCATGCCTAATAATTTTGCTGTTCTACAAAAAAGAGAGGAGGTAAGAAATGATTGGGAGGCTTTAGAATTTTCTTTGGTAGGAGCTGGTTTCCTCAGTGGAAGAGAAGTAATGGACTTTGGAGATTTAAGTTAGGTTTTTTTTCAGTTGTCAGTGTCAGCTGTGAAACTGCAGGTTGGTTTTCTTGCCAAACTCTTCATTACTTGCTGGAGGTAAAGAGGGCTGGAGTACACAATTGAATTGGGCTGTTTTTTATTGTGGACAACTACTAATTAAGGAGGATAAAACAATGTGACAATATTGTTAGTATTTGATATCCCTCTCATTCTATGGTGTCAAGCTAGAAACACACAACAGCAGCAAGGAACATGTCCAAGTCCAGCTGATACCTGGTTGCCAGACAAGTTTTGGTGGTGTGTGTGGTTTTTTATTTTTTTTATTATTTATTTTTTGTTTTTATTTTTTCCCCTTAGACATAAATGCCAGGGGTGTTTTAGAACAGCCACCCTGAAGCTGTGGTAAGAGGGAAGATGTACATCGTCATGGACTGAATTTTGTTGAGAGTGGTTCAGGGTCAAGTGTCATTATGTGACAGCTTGCAGCTTGCTTGGTGAAATACTTTACTTTGATGGTAAAAATCCAGTGAAGGAAAGTGAGAGCTAATAAGAGGGATACAGTCACCCTAATGCAGTATTCTTTCCCTTTAGGGAAACTGTAATAAACAAGATAACGAACTGCTGCAGAAGAACATCCAGTGTTTCCTACAAATACACAAAGGTAATACAGTGGCAAAATTCAAGGTTTTATCTCTTGTCAAATTTTCTTAATATGAAGCCTTTATTACTAAATAAACAAACACCCTTAATTCCTAGTTCCTTCAGTGCATGGAAACCATAATGTATGGCTTCAGAAAAGCCATATAGCTGAGATATCTACATTTACGTTATGAAATGGGAAAGAAGACAGGGTTGTGGAAATAAAGAGCAGTCCATAAATAGCCAAACAATGGAAAATGTCCAAGAAAAGAAAAAAGTCTGTTTCAGACATAGTGAACAGTGACAGTAACAGCATCCTATAATAATATTACTATCTTATGACTAAATTAAACCCAAGGCCATGTATGGTGTGCGATCTGACAGCTGGGGAGATCAGCATGTGACAGAGTCTGGAGTGATATACAGTCTCCTTGTGCCTTTTTTTTTTAATTGCAGATAAATAGTGAAGAAGAAGTTAATGAGAATGAAACAGAGTGGCTTATGGAGGAAATTGCAACGCCAAATCAAAGAGCAGCAAAGGGAGGGCAGGAGAATGGTCACATTACTACCAAGTCTGTTACATCTGAAGCCCTTACCTCTCTCCATGTGGATGACCTGGACAGTGAGGATGAAGTGTTAACCATTCCAGATGTGAAGATAGAGACAGGAAGAGGAGTAGACAAGGGCAAGCACCCACAAAAGAAGCCACACAGTTTTGGAAGTGATGACAAAGTTTATTTGCTGAATGGAGGAAAGGAGAGGAAAGCAAAAGCCAAGCCAGGCCAGCAACAGGCACAGAACTCTACAAATACAGTATCGTTTCATGATGATAGTGATGAGGACTTGTTGAATGTTTAATAACCCCTCTTGTGCCTAATCAAATATATATAGAGAGATTATGTATAATGGGACTACATTTCCAACCAAATATGAGGACTTCGGCCCGAAAGATTTTTCTGAATTTTGCCTTTAACAAGAAACCATTGAAAAGGGAAGAAGAGAGAGATTTCTTGGTTGTTTACAATGATCTGTTCAGTAGTAACTGGATTTCTAACACCCAGTTGACTCTCTCTAGCCAGGACACTTTTTAAGCCTCAGCATGGATGTTAAATGCCTGCTTAAAAAAGAGAAACCTTTAAAATGGGAAGGATTACAGCTCAATGAAGCCCCTGGCTCCTGAGACTCAAGTTATCTGACTACTAGCTTTTAACTCCTTGTATTTATTGATCCTCACTACTCAGGTTTGCTTAATAGCAACGTGTTCTTCCTGCCGGCAGGGTATTATTCTATGGGTTTACCCATTGTAAGATGAGGAAAAAATACAGCTTTTGTGTGTTGGGATGATTTGATGTAAATTTTGGAACTGGTCTAATTTATCCTGTAAATTTGAATATCCATTCTAATTTAAACAGATCATTGGTTCAGAGGTATTGACTGAAAGGTACAACTCTGTATAGCTTTAGGCTGAAATGGTTGCTGTTCTTTGCATGATTTTTTTTTTTTTTGGTACTGGTCATGAGACTGACTTCATCAGTATTTGCCTAAGCAGCTGACAAGCACCCAAAGGTTTATTTTTTTTTTTCCTATGGCTGGACTAGGCTGGCTGCATGGGGAAATGGAGTTTTCAGGGACACGGAGGCAGACTTCCTATAACACAGTCTGTGCTGCCCAGTTTGTCACTGCTGAGAAGCCCAGCAGCTAGAGGAGCGAGCTGAGGTAGCACAATAACTCTCTCTGGTATTAATTACAAGAGGAAAAAAGTATTTTCTCATAGTGTAAGTTCTGGCTGTTATGCTGTGATCTTGGCCGTGGTCATTGATTTGAAGTGTTGCTGGCAATGAATGCAAGTCAGATTTCCTCTAGCAGTCTGGCTCTTCTCCAGGTGTTTCTTCAATTAAATTATGGGCGATTATAAGGTTTCAAAGCATCACACAAGTATGTACGTTGGTCAGAATTTTTGGAAACTTTTCGTTGTTCCTTTTGGCTGGCTTACTCAGTTTCAACAATGGTTTCTTTTTATAAAAGCTCCATTTTGAATCAAAATAGTGTACTATAAAGTATTCGGCAATTTCAATAAAAGATATGAAGTGGGTGTCCCAAATCCCACATGACAAGTTTGGAATCTTTCTTATGCTAGTTTGCAGTGCTGTTCTTCATCCTGGTGATAAACTTTTTTTGCTGTGATTGCTGGTATCTTAATTGCATCACTCCAAACAAGAATTCATGTTTGATGACGAAGATCAGGATATACAGGTAAGCCCAGTGGTATATTCTTTCTTTTATCAGACTTGGATTTCCTTCCCTCTTGTATTATTACCAGTGAGGCTATAAATTGGCTAAAACAGCATTTTTCATACTTAAAACAAAAGCAGCATTTTGCTTGTTTAATGTTAGGCTGATTTGGGTGAGTAAGAGGTTTCACAGTGTATTTTAATACTCTCAGTTGACACCCACATGTATGGCACAGTGCCACTCAACCCCAGCTAGACTGCAGAGGGTGGAAAATCAGGGGAAAAAAAGGCCCAGCCTGGATCTAGATTTTTTTAGTTCATGTGGAAGTTACACACACCATTGCCAACTGGTTAAACAAAACCACTAGGGAAGAAGCAATGTGAGGTGTCTTGGGTGTGTCTTTTAAGATACAGCCGAATGGTTTTAAACTTCACCAGTTCCCAGGCAGGCTCTGATTTCAGTTTCCTTGGCCTCGGCTCACACATCCTGTGCTGAGGGGTGCAGTGGGGCCTAGCTGGGAGCAGGGCAGCTGCTGTGCTCTTGTGTCTCCTCTTCCCCCTCCCTAGCTCCATCCACATGGAGGCCCTGCAGCCCCAGAGGTGAAAGTCTGGCATGGGGTGCTGCTGTGCTGGGCTTGCAGTAACACAGCTGGAACCTGGAGGGGGCACATCTGTGTGATGCAGGGGGTGATCCTACAGTACTGGTCCTCAAAGCAGTTTTCATAACTGTCTAGGCCACTGTTGCTTGGATGGCTGGTGGGTAGCAAGACCAGGTGAAGAACTGGTTCTGTTTCTGTCCCTGCACCAGAATGGCCGCCTAAGCTGGTTTATTTTTTGCTGTGTGTTGAAAGGAGGTCTTTAATTTTTTTTTGCCTGGTTGTATAAACTATGCAAGTCAGTTTTCAGATTATTTTTCACTTTTTTTCTATACTTAAAATGTTACCTTTTGTTCTTCTTTTTATGTAAGCAGCTGTTGTGAGCAAAAGGTGTTGGAGTAGCAAGTTGCTTGTCCATGGGCAGCATGAAATATTATTGGAGTCTGATATAACTGGATTTTTTGAGGGTTACCCTACTGTGAATTCTACCTAAATTCTTGCAGGTCTTCTGCAGTAATAAATAGCTGGTTTTGCCATAAGTATTTCATATTATGGCTTCCTAAAGCTGTTCCCAGTGCAATATTCCATAATTTAATGTTTTTATCTTCTGTACTGCTGCATAAATATGGTCAGGTGAAAAATAGTGTTCACTGATGCAAGTGGGAGATGTGTTCCTTGGAAATGGAGGTGTGTGGAAAGTGGGGGGGGCTGCAGGGATGAGACACACACGGTACTGGGGTTTGTGGGAAAGCTGCTCCTTTACCATTACATGGCTCAATGAAGAGACACTCTGTTTCACATTGTACTTACCTGTTCTTTATAGAACCCATGAGTCTGTCTGACAAACCTTGTTCACACGTACCCAGCAACTGCTACGCTCAACTTTTCATCTGCTTGCACGTTGGAGGAATTTTCCATCTACACTTGCTCCTTAAAATGCCTCTTCTTTGAGGAGCTGGTTTGGCTAATTAAAAATATTACAAAGATCTGTGGCTGTTGGTGGATTTTCTGGAGAAAATGAACACACATGCTCTGTCTAGGGGTTAAATACAAATTCTCCCTGGGTGAATTAAAGTCTGATTTCAAATAAGACCTGAAGTCTGGTGAAGCTTGCAACATGTAGTTTAATAATTTATGGAGTTAGTCTTGACTTTTGGTCAAATGTCTTTGTTACTTAAATAGTTTTGCTGCCAACTAAATATACCAGTGCTTCAGAGAAGAACTAGATGAAGTTTTTGGGGTGGTTTTGATGCCAAAATGCCAACTCTAGATGACATTTTGGAGAACGTTGGAGAATTTGACAGGTTCCAGAAGCAAACCTTCTTTGTCCTGTGCTTGCTTTCTGCTGCCTTCACCCCGGTGTACGTGGGCGTCGTCTTCCTGGGGCTGATCCCCGAGCATCACTGCTTCAGCCCTGGGGTGGCTGAGCTGAGCCAGCGCTGTGGCTGGAGCCTGGAGGAGCAGCTCAAGCACACGGTTCCCGAGTGGGGCGGCCACGGGGCCAGTTTCAGCAGCCGCTGCAGGAGGTACGAGGTGGACTGGAACACAACAGGCATCAGCTGCACCGACCCCCTGGGGAGCCTCGTGGGCAACCAGAGCGCTGTCCCCCTCGGGCCCTGCCAGGATGGCTGGGTCTACGACTCCCCGGGGACCTCTCTTGTCACTGAGGTAAAAATGAACGCCCCTTTTCCCTTACCCCCCCGTTACAGAGAAGCTGGGGGATGTGGAAACGGGTTAGTGTAGCCTTTGCCACCTTAACAAGACATCTGCTTACCTGGAGGAGTGATCCCCTCTCCTGGTAAACATGCACCGGGTGCTTTGCGTGTCGTCTTCCCTCTGTCCTTGCTGTGAGGCTTTGCCTTGGCTGTTCAGGAGGCTTGTCTCTCTAGCTGGGGAGCAAAGCATATTTCAGCAAGCTCCCAGGTCGATAAAGTCCAGTTCTGTGTGAAGCTCCCAGCACACGAGGGGTCCCATTGGTGGAGGTGTGTTTGCAGAGCCGCGGCTCGCAGCACCGCAAACAAAACCAGCCGATCCCCCAGCGGGTGCACTGCTCAGACCTACCTGTCTGCCTGGGATCTGCCCAGCTTTGAAAGTCTTGATGTCTTTCCTTTTTTTTTAATAAAGTTTTTTTAGTTTGTTTCAAATATGATTGAATGACTACATGTGCGGGAAAAGGTAATTACTTCTCACAGTTAAAAGGCTTAAGTCAGGAATAAACAGCAGAAAATCCAATGGCTGTTTTGTGTTCTCAGAAGATGTGTGAATAAACGGATATTTAAATTACTTTGAGTACTTTAGCACTTTAGGTGCTTAAACTGTAAAAACAAATCAGTATCTGGGATGACAAACTTGATTGCGTCATAGAAAGTTCCACTAAATTTTTTGAGATGGTGGGAGTTGGGGGTTTTCCCACGCACATCTAACACCAACACAAGAGCAGGTAAATTCTGTGTTCCAGCAACTTCAGCATTTACAGTTTTGTAAGGGGTTAGAGCTAGATTTTTAAATGGTATACTCTAAGTATACTTCTTCCCACAAAGTATGGACTGTGTGATACTAAAATGAGGAAATGAAGGAGCTCTTGAGATTGTGGGAGGCTGAAAATTTGCAGTCAGTGGATTCCTGCAGTTGTGTTCTCAATCAGTCACCTTCCCTTTTCTTTTGAAGGTGGTGCAAGGCTAGGCCCACAGGCTGCTTCATTTGCGGGGTAACCAGAAACATCCTGTGCATCCATATGCGTTGTAGCAGAGTGTTTTTTCTTCTGGATGTGACGGTTTCTGGGAAGGCTCTTGGCCTCTGTTTTGTTGTCCCTTGCTCTGGCAGCCAAACGAGGTAAAGGATAGTGCAGAGTAAAGCACGTTACTTTCCTTGAAGTAAAAATTGACATGTGGAAGAATATCCCCATGGATATTCTTCACAGAGCATCAGGAGGAGTATCTGGTTTTATGTTGATGAAAGATACATAGCTTTAAATAAACCTAGCCACCAGCAGGACAGGCAGGGATTCTCAGTCACATTAGGACAGCTTTTTAAATTAACTTATTCTCCAGTAACTTTTGTGTACGTATCTACTTAAGTAAGATATGAGAAGTAAGGCCAGATGGGAAATATATGTGGATGTCTGCATGATGTAAAACTTGGCCTTCGGTGCAAACTATCTGGTCTCCTGGCAGGTTAGGCTGTAGGAGAGCTTAGTCAAGCAAGAGGCCAGAAAATGATGTGGCCTCAGGGGCAGATGCAGATACTTGCTCCCGTCCTCCTTTTGGGACCTGATGCTCCATGGGAAATGGAACAAGGCAAGCTTCAACCTCTAGGATACCTTTAGTGAATTCATCATCCTTAGCCCTGTGGGGTCTGCAGGGATTACTGTGGCACGCAAGGACATGAGGCAACAAGGACTGCTTAAAAATGTTCACCATCAACCACAAAAAAAAAAAAAAGTTTGAAAAGCCCAGGGTGATCATAAGGTCCCTGCTGACTTGATCAACAAGGCCTAACACAAAGTAGAGTCCTGATCTTAACAGGTCATAACTCAGTTATGTTCTTTCCAGTAACAAGAAATGAGACATGGATAGGAAATACCAGGAAACGCCTCAAGGGCTTGATCCTGTTTTTAATGCTGAACACTTAAGTCAGTAGAGGTTTTGGGTGCTGATAAAACAGGCATTGACCCAGAAACAAGTTTAGATCTTTAACTGAAGTGAAGGAGA